TGGCACAAGGCACTGTGTGATCTGGATTCTTCTAAACTCAAATCCCAAATTTCTAAAGAATGTGGTGGCACCTTCAGAGAGTGGTCTGCTTTCTAGCCACTGCCTTGTGGAAAGCAAGATAATAATGGAGTACGGATTCCAGGCACTGGACAAATTGGTGACGAAGTCACCATCCTCTCTTCTTAGCCATGAGTGAAGTCTGAAAGGAAAATTGATTTCTTCTATCAATGGCTTTTGGGCCTGTCCTCCTTAGATTAGGAAATTTTGGTAAAATCCTACTGGATCTCACTGTCTAATAGCAATCTGTACTTCATTGCTCAAGGCTCAAGACAGTGGTGGAAAAATGACAATGATAGCTCAAGTGGCATTTCAAAAATAGATTGTAGAGTGGTGTGGAGTTGGGCTTGTCAGTACTATCCTCACCAGTGCAAAATAGATGCTGACTTTACCTCTTCCGGTTTATTCAATAATCAGATATAACCTACTGGACCTTCAGGTATCCAGTGCTTTCAGAAGTCACCCTCTTGCCATTAGATCAAAACCAGAGTAGTAGTCATTTTATACTCCTAGTATCGATGTATTTATATTAATTTTTGTAAGTGGCACTATTGATAGGCTATTTCCAATAATTGCTAAGGCAAAGGAGCCTGTCAGTTTCCTCCAATTCAGGTCCAGTAATTTTTCTTAAAGGTTGTTTCCCCCAGCCTTTCTGTACCAGTCAGTCTATGCTTATCCTGGGGTAACTAACTGCTCATAGATCTGCAACCTACTTAGTTACTTCCTTTATGTTTCAGCCTCCTACCTTCTGCCCTAACCTTAAGACTCTAGATCCTTGGGGATTCAGCATTTATTCTTCTTTGTTTCATACCCCTCCACTTGGCTGATGAATCATCTGCCCCTGCCCTTCCCTCCAAGAGTGGTGATCTAAGTCTGACTTGCCAGCCAGTTAGTTGGTTAGAGCTTAAATGACCCAGAGTTCCTGCTTCCTTGAGTCCTCCAGGCCACATTGGCATGTAAGCAGACATAAGAGATTGTGTGTAGGGGCATGTTTGTGGTGGGGGTGGAGGTGGGAGGTGTAAATTTGTGAATGATTTCTGTGACAATGTTCAATAGGGATGTCACTTACAGATACTAAAGGGCTAACAAGTAGAAAGAAAATACAAAAACCATTTGTCTACGGAAAACAAATTTATGTCTGCTTACTCTTTATGGCTAATTTTACCACATATGCAATAATAACCGTGAGTGTTGTCAAGATGGGTCTGATGAAATTGATTGTAAAGTATGTTCACTTACAATGTGCTGTTGTGCTCAGCTGTGCTCACACTTGTGTTGATTACTGACTATGGGCTTCTGCCCATGTATTCTGCTCACATGGAAACAAAAATTAAGGGGATGTGACTCTAGTCCTTTTGAAATTAACTGCCTAGCTGCCTCCTTTCTTTTCTTTTGGCATCTGTTGGGTAGCTATATTGAATAGGTCACTGTGGGTACAAAATACAAGAAAAGAAAGTATATGTAATAAAAGGTGTAAATTTTCCTAAAGTGGCATGAAAATTGTTCCTCAGTACTCAGCATATATAGGTTATATTTACTCTATATGCCTTTTCTCTATTCTATTTACCACCTTTGATTCCTAGGAGATTAAATCTGCACAAACGTAGATACATACTAATACTATGAACTTTAAAATGTTATTTTCCTTCCTTTATCATCAATGATTATCATTTAGAGTTGTTATGAAGGCTTTGTGACAGAGCTTATACTAAAATTGAAAGTATAAGAACTTACTGAAAATCATGTAAAAATTAGCTATGTTTTTAATGTGGTTTCTCAGATTGATTAATTTATGCAATTGAATTGTTCTACCTCTTGTAAACATACATTCACACTTTGCAAACTTGCACACCTGCAAAGTAAAGTGTGGTGGTATTTTTGATATTATCATTGTTTCATCAAGAATGATAACTCAGCCAGGTTACCCTTTAAATCTCATTTTATAGGCCATTATATATCACCTTCCTGTCTCAATATAGTGGAAATTGATTCCATAAAGGGCTCAAAGGCCAAAAGTACTTTAAACTTAATAATTTAAAAACACATTGGCATTTATGAAGTGTTGTTACATTAATTTGGAAATAGTTTGAAATTGTTATAAAGTTTAACAGTATATGAAAGCACTTCCCCAAAAGATAGATACATCAGTTTGGATACAGTCAATTTTTTTCCTTAGGGAAGTATGTGTCTTTAAAAAATTGTTTTTCTCTGAATTGAAAATATGACAAGAATATTCCCTTATAGCTTTCAGTCTGACTTTTAACCAAGATTCTAGAACTCATGAAATAGCCTCTGTTTTTCCCTTTTTCCTTCCTTTTTCACTATCTTCTATTGCTTTGTTCCCTCTTTTTGGCATTTATAAGCACTACATGTAATAGGAACCATATCAGGTGCTAGAAACCCAGAGATGAAAGGACACAATCTCAGTTCTCAAGGGACTAAGTCTAATTGAAGAGAAAGAAGAATAAAAAAACTAATTACACAGTATTGGTGGTGTAGTGGTCAGGAAAAACTTCTTGGGAGAGGTGGTGATTGAGCTGGAAGGATGAGTGATAGCTGACAAGGAGATAAAGTGAATCTTACTTGGGATATTAATAGGTTTGGGGTATGATAGCTCTCTTTATACAAAAAGTGGCAGAGTAGGGCAATTGGGGTCTCTATCCCTTCATAAAAGCATATAATGGAGCTGGAAAATACTGTTAGAATTAACTTTTGCAGAACTCTAGAATCTAGTCAAAGCATATAACAATTAGGGGAAAGCTTAATGAAGAAAGAAACTGCTGCCTTGCAGTAAGGGAGTTCTCTGGTGGTTCAAATTGCCTGTCTCCCTTTCCGCACACACTAGATTGGAGGCAGCCATGAAGACAATAGCATGTACTCCTGGTACAGGATGACATGTGCCAGATGGAGCAATATGGACCTTATTCTCAAAGAATTGTGGTTGTGTGTTTTAATCTGTCTGGTAGCTCCTTGAAGGACAGATGTAAGGGCTTACTTCTGTTTTGCCCATCTGACTCAGCTTTCCAGGTGGCATTTACCAAAAGCATTTAAAGGCAAAAGTATTGGCTGTAGCAGCCTGGGACAAGGGATAGCAGTCAGGACAAGCAATAGATAGACCAAAAATCCTGGGAAGAAAGAGGGTGGGAAAAAGAGATATGTGGGAGAATGAGGGCCTTTAAAAACCCTAATGTAAATCAGGGAATTGAGAAAGCCTTGTACATGCCCAAGACTGGACATGCTCAGAAAAAGGCCTGAGAAGACCCCATACTTCTACTTGTTGCTGACTTTCAGATTTGCCACAAGCAGGAAGTAAAGGCAAAGGCAGCATTATAAATGATCTGGGTAAGCATTAAAGGAGTTTCCCAAAACAGAGTCAATCCTTAAAGACTGGGAAAATTTAAAAAATTCTCTCTTCTCTTCTCTTCTCTCTTCTCTTCTCTTATCTTCTCTTTTTTCTTTTCCTGATGGAGTCTAGCTCTGTCATCCAGGCTGGAGTGCAGTGGTTCAATCTTGACTCACTGTGCAACCTCCATCTCCCGGGTTTAAGCGATTCTCCTGCCTCAGCCTCACGACTGGCTGGGATTACAGGCACTCGCTGCCACGTCCAGCTAATTTTTGTATGTTTTTTTAGTAGAGATGGGGTTTCACCATGTTAGCCAGGATGGTCTCCATCTCCTGACCTCGTGATCTGCCCACCTCAGCCTCCCAGAGTGCTGGGACAACATGTGTGAGCCAATGCTCCCGGCCTTCTTTCTCTTTTCTTAAAAAAATATTTTTGGGGCCAGGAGCGGTGACTCAAGCCTGTAATCCCAGCACTTTGGGAGGCTGAGGCAGGTGGATCACCTGAGGTCAGGAGTTCGAGACCAGCCTGGTCAACATGGTGAAACCCCATCTCTACTAAAAATACAGAAATCAGCTGGGCGTGGTGGTGGATGCCTGTAATCCCAGCTACTTGGGAGGCTGAGGCAGGAGAACTGCTTGAATCCAGGAAGCAGAGGTTGAGGTGAGCTGAGGTCCTGAACACTGTACTCCAGCCTGGGCAACAAGAGCAAAACTCTGTCTAAAAAAAAAAAAAAAAAAAAAAAAAAGGAGGTTACAACCCAAAAATACATTAATCCATTCTTGTATATTGACCTACATTGTTATCTTTACCATGTGGTTTTTGTTTGAATTCTAGTTACTGTCTAGTGCAGCCCAGAGGACTCCCTTTAGCATTTCTCCTAGGGAAGATCCAGATCATGGACGAGCATTTAGTCAAAAGTAAAAAGAGATACCCTCTGAGATCTGGGTTGACCAGATAAAGATGGGAGTGAATTTACAAGGACTTCATGGCTCAATTACTTGCTTTTCTTGATGACAGGGGCTATAAGTTCACCTGTTCAGGAGCTAAGGGAAGGGTGCAGATAGCATGACTGACTCTATGGAATGTTTGAAGTAGTAACTGAGAGTACAAGAGATGGAGCTGAGACAAGAACAGCACCCGTATATACACCTATCCAACTCCATCACCTGGCTAGGGATTCATTCTATGATACTGGATATTGTCCTTCCAAAGCTATTGGAAACAGGTTCTGTTGGGACACTACAGTCTGCAGCACACCCATTTTCCCTGTGGGGAGCGCTGTGCCAAATGAATCTGGTCCCAGCAGGCCTTGCGGGTCCCAGCCAGCCTTGCGGCACGACTCAGCTTTTCTCTGTGACGTGTCGCGGAGTCGCCCGTAGGGTTCGGTGTGGTGAGGGGGGCCTGGTTCTCTCTTTGTGAGAACAAGGGAGTGAGGGAGGAAGGAGGCCGAGGAGGAGGCCAGGACTGAGCAAAGACTAAAGTAAGACTGAAAGGGGAGGTGAGGGGCGGACTGGTTGGTGGCAGCAGCCTGTACCGGAAGCGACGGCGGCAGCCGAGGCGACGCACTGTGAGGCAGCTGCTTGACTAGGCCGCAGCCGCCATGGCGATGAATTTTGGGGACCGTGCCAGCGGATTCCGCCACAGTGATGTGATCAGGTTCATTAACAATGAAGTCCTCACGGACGGCAGTGGCCCAGCCTTTTACGTGGCCTTCCGCTCGCGGCCGTGGAACGAGGTAGAGGACGGGCTGCGGGCCATTGTGGCTGACTCGCAGGTGCCGCGCGCCATCAAGAGGGCCTGCACCTGGAGCGCGTTGGCTTTGAGTGTGCGAGTGGCCGCGAGGCAGCGGGAGCAGATGCTGTATCACGTTCGGAGGCTGCAAAGGCATGTGGAGGAGGGCCAGGCGACCTCCTGGGCTCTAACGTCCCAGTTGCAGCAGCTACGCCTGGAGCATAAGGTGGCAGCAACACAGCTGCACCTTGCGCAGGCTGCCCTGCAGCAGGCGCTGAATGAGCGTGATGGGCTGTACGGGAGGCTGCTCCAGGTCGAGAGGTTTCCCCAGGCCGCTCCACTGACCCATGAAATAATGTCTGGGCCTCAAGCAGAGCAGAATGGGGCTGCGGCATGTCCCCTGGCTACAGAGCAGCAGAGAGATATGGTGGCCATGGGGACACAGGCTAATGCCCAGATGCCAACCCCAACAGATGCTCTTTATGTGCCAGGACCTCTGAGTCTCTGGGCCCAAGGCATGCAACCTCCTCTGCCAGTGCCATATCCATCCCCACTTCTACCACGATTTCCAATGAAATTCCCATTTTTGCCACCTCTACCACCTGCTGTAGTCATGGGGGCAGAAGCAGCAGCAGTCCCACTTCAGATGCCTCCTACTGAGATCCACCCACCTTGCCCGTGGCCTGCGGTGGGCTTGCAGGAGGAGATGGCCCCTCAGTGGTACCAGAGAAGCTACATCCAGGAGGAAGATTCCAAAATCCTTCAGGGGTCAGTCCCCTTAGAAGACAGCAGAAGCCACAGTCAGGGAGAAAGTTCAGAGAGGTCCCAAAGAATGCCCCTCCCTAGGGACAGTGGGTGCCACAACCCGCTGTCAGAGAGTCCCCAGGGGACAGCTCCACTGGGGAGCAGCGGATGCCACTCCCAGGAAGAAGGTACAGAAAGACCCCAGGGGATGGTTCCCCTGGGGAACATAGAAAGACAAAATCAGAAAGAAGGTCCAAAGAGGGCCTGGAGGATGCGCACCCTGGTGTTTCGCAGGAGCCACAAACCAGAAGGTTCAGAGAGGCCTCAGGGGACTGTCCCCCAGGGAGACAGAAGTTACAGCCAGGAAGGATGTTCAGAGAGGGCCCAGGAAATGGCCACCATGGTGTTTATCAGGAGGCGCAAACCAGAAGGTCCAAAGAGGCCCCAGAGGACTGTCCTCCAGGGAGACAGCAGAAGCTACAGCCAGGAAGGAAGCCCACAGAGGGCCCAGGGGATGGCTACCCCAGTGCTTAGCAGGAGCTGCAAACCAGAAGAAGGTCCAGAGAGACCCCAGGGCACTCCCCTGGGGGACAGCAGGAGCCATGGTGTCAGAGAAAGCCCAAAGAAATGGCAACGTCGGAGGCAGAAGGCCAAGAAACCAAAAGTGAATAAAGTCTCAGGATCCCAGCAACAGGAGAAGCCTGCCTCATTTCCAATTCCAGTGAATTGGAAATGCCCATGGTGTAAAGCCATTAATTTTTCATGGCGTACAGCCTGCTATAAATGCAAGAAAGCCTGTGTGCCATTTGAGAGTGGAGGACAAACTCACTGATTTCAGGAAGGTAAGTAAGAATGGACATACTTCAAAGAGAAACCAATTTCCTAAGACCCTCTTCTGATTAAAGTATAACTTATTTACTTCACAGAAAAATTGAAACCAAAATTATGGAGAAAATTAAATAAAATAATGTATTATCCCATTACCCAAATTAGCCATTTAAAAATTGTTTTGGATACACATACATACAAATGTATATGTATTTATATTCTAATTTTATTCATTTACTTGAACAGAGATGGACTACTTTTGATTTCTCCTGATTGCATTTAAATTTTGCAGGTGGTGGATTCTGGATGGCTGATGCTGATTGTTTATACCCTGGAGAAGCTGAAGTCATGAAGTCTTTTCTTTTCCTTTTTGTTTCATTCCTTTTCCTGAAAATGCCATGTATGTGGCTGGGAGCAGTTGTGTGATTTTAGAGTTAGAAACTAGGTTGAATTTTAGGAACAGTATTTTCCTTTAAAATGCTATTATTCCTTTGGAAACAAATTTTAGAAACAGCACACTTCCTTGAAAATGCTATTAATCCTTTTGAAACTACTGCAATGTTCATGTTTTCTTCATTTTGCTTTGTTGGCTTTATAGGTGAGGTCCTGTTTTTGTATCTCAGCTCCACCAAACTTGCTTGTTGCTGAGGAAGCTGAACCTGTCCCATTAGAAGATCTTCCTAGGCCAAAAGAAATAACACCTCACTCCTAATGGACCTACACCTCAGTGAGACTGACTGCAAACTTACTGTATGCAGCAGAGAGGAGTAAGAGGAAGTCAGAGAAGAAGAGATGATTTGACACTCATTAGGGGGAAAAGGAAGAGCAGAATTGTTTTGTTAGAATTGAATTTTTCCATTGGGACAAGGAATTAACTTGGAAGAGTTTGGGGGGTTGTAATGTTCAATTCTATAGATGATAGCATTTCATCTATGATTTTCACTTCATTTAGATGAATTTCATTTAGTTTGTTAAATAGTTATTGTCTAATATGTGTTAGGAGCTAGACTTATAGGTTGTTATTTGGTGCACAGATCATAATCCTTGTTGCTGAGTTGGTCAGAAGATAGGAGAGAGCGTAATTTGGGATACAAATTAGATCGGGGTATCTTCTTTGCCTTGTATGTAGTGTTGCCTTAGGTAAAACCAATTTAAATAACATCTAGATCCATTTTTGCAGTTGTGTGGGCAATGTGAAAGAGACTTGCATGAGAGGTCTTGAGTAACCAAACTGCTAGTCTCAGTGGTTTGCAGGTGAGACAAATAAGCAGTGGCAAACTTCAGGAAAGTGGCCTTACAGAAGTGCAGGCAGGGCTTTTCTGATTTTCTGATGATTTCCTCCTTTGAGAGGGACAGATATTTTCCTGGCTGCCCATAAGCCTGCCTGAAAGACCACTGGGGTGTCTTGAAGAAAGACAGTGCTCTGAGGAGTATTCACTGCACACTCCAGCCCTCAGCCTTGGGCTGCCCCCATTCCAAGTCCCTTTCTAGTCAATAGGTGGTTGAAGAACAAAATGGATTTCAAGGACAGACAGACAGACATAAGGGCTGTGGGCTATGGATGGTGTTTCTCTTGGGAGGACTAATTGGGTTAAAAATAAAACTGGACTGGGGCGAGCACTCTTGGGAATGCCCCTGGACCCTTCCTCTTTGGTATGTTCTCTGCAGGCTCCCCCAAAGCAGCTGTTGCAAGGCAAGGCGGGATCCAGGGTGAAGCTCAGGGGTGGTGGGTTAGATCTGCCTCCAGTACAAGCTAAAGATATCTTCAAGTTTCCCTGTGAGATCCCGCCCAGCTCACCAAAATCAACCTTTGTCGGGGGTTTTCTGATCCTAACTAGTAATAAAGAGTGTGCACTTGACTGCTGTGTCTTCTGCGTAGTGTGTATCTCATGGCAAGTTTTCTCAGAGGTGAAAGCTTAAATCTGCATCTTCCCTCCATCCCACTGAAGTTCAATCTCATTTACTACTGGAGGGGCCTTCCTCTTACGAGGAATTACCCAAGAATTGGGGGAACTTCTATACGACCTTCAATCCATCATGATTGTGCTTTCTATCCTCACAGTCCAAGTCCATATGGTCCTGTGAAGGTTAGCATGTCTTCTACTCCAGGGTGGTGGGGCAGGAGGGGTGAGTTGGATAGGGTGCTTCTACCTAGGCTTGGAGCTCTGATGCCTGGAGTCCAGCCTGCTGTGTACCAAGAAGCCATTTCCCTGAGATCCTGTCTCCCTGAGGTCCCCTGATGTCCCATGAACAGAAAACTTCCCTCCTGCATTTCTGTCTTCCAAGTCACTGTACCCTCTCCCCTATGCATAATCCTATCAAGTTGTTTAGAATTCTGGAAAACAGCCAGGCTGTAGCCTGTCTGCTCACAAGACAAATGTTCCCTGAGGTGAAGGGGAGTGGAGGCCGGCTACCTGCTTGGTATGGGCACAGGAATGGGGACAGAGAACAAAAGTGACCTTGCACCACCAGCATTCTCACTTCCCTCAGAGTCATGATTACTGGGAGGGCCTTGGTTACTTTGGAGGGGAGCACTTCAGAGGAAGGGATCCATTAGGGATGTCAGACCCAAGGCTAGGTTTTCTGGATTGGAGGCTGGTTTTATGATACTTATGTGGGCTGATAGCTCCTTGGAATTTTGGGAAGATGGGACACAGATGAGACTTGGACATGTTTCAGCATAATCCATTTTCGCATACCAGCAGGTCATTCTAGGTTTCACTATAGTTGTTTCTTTTATGGCTTCAAAATGGACTCTGTTGTTAATTGGCATGCTTTTAGGCCTTTATAAAACAGACTCACCCTGTGTATAGCTTTTATATATTTTAATATGATTACACAGTCTTTCAGGGTCAACCTTTTTCAAAACAATCTGAATCATTGAGGCTGTCAGATCACTACTCTCTTCCAGGCTGCATACATGCAAGAAAAGGCAGCAGGTTTCTGTGGCATAAACCTGGGCTTTGGAGACAGAGAAAACTTGAGTTCAACTACTTGATCTATTATTCAGTAGCTGTGTGACCCCAAAGAATTTACTTAAAGTCTCTGAGCCCCACAAGTGTTAGTTCCCTTTCTCTATCTTCAGGGTTCCGCTCTGGATCCTGTGGTCATGAGTATGTGAGATTATTAATCATAGTAAGAGATACCATTAGAGTGTTTACTATGTGTTAGGTACTTTAAGGACATTGTCCCTTTTGATGACTGTAAGGTATTATAGGTACCTATATTAATAGTTTTCAAAGTGGGTACTATTGTCCCCAATTTACAAGTGTGGTAATACCCAAATTTGGGACTTAGTGAAGCCTGGCTTCAAAATGAAATTTTACTAGTTCCAATGTCTGTACACCACCTAAGGTTTTACCCTTACTGAGGGATACTGTGCATTTTAACAGGGATCGTAATACCTAAACCCAAAGAAATGACTGTGATGGAGGGACTCTGAGGTATAGTGGCAGTCTGGTGGTTGTGGAGCTGCTCTTTTAGAATATCTCAAATTTTGGCTGGGCGTGGTAGCTCAAGCCTATAATCCCAGCACTTTGGGAGGCCAAGGTGGGCAGATCACCTGAGGTCAGGAGTTTGAGATCAGCCTGACCAACATGGTGAAACCCCATCTCTGCTAAAAATACAAAAATTAGCTGGGTATAGTGGTGTATGCCTGTAGTCCCAGCTACTCAGGAGGCTGAGAGAGGAGAATTGCTTGAACCCGGGAGCTGGAGGTTGTAGTGAGCAGAGATCACGCCACTGCACTCCAGCCTGGGTGACAGAGCAAGACTCAGTCCCATTTAAGAAAAAAAATCCCAAATTTTGGGATATGTGATCGATAACCCAGGATGCCACTGAGTAGGGCCATTTATTATCTTAGTCACCAAGACTGCAAAATAAGGGCAATGATTTAGGCAGCAGGCATGACTTGTGTTGATTCAGCAGACTGGACTTATGAAAAGTTTATATCTGAGTTCAATATTAAGATAGGACACATCTTGACTGCTTACCTAAAGTCTGTCTGAATTAGTCAGTTTTTGTTTTAAGTGAATAAGGTGCCAGCCGTAAAAGTCCAATATACTGTGTGTGTGTGTGTGTGTGTGTGTGTGTGTATATATATATATATAATATTTTTCAGTGAGGAAGGAGAGGAAAATTAGATTTTGAAAACTTCAGACTCATGTTGCCAAACGGGGATGTTTTTTACATTATGGTGCTAAATCTACGACAGAATGGCAGATAAACACATAACTTCCTTATCACATGCTTTGTAAAGACTCAACACAGAATGGTAGCGGCTGCTTCTTATGTGGTACAGACGCTGCATAACACTCTTCAGTGGTTTCTTCACTTCTAGCATGTGATAGAGTCAGTGCATCCACTGGCACTAAAACTCACATACACTTAATGATACTCAACTGCCCTAGCCTGTGACCTTAAGAGATTGCTGTTGAACAGATTTTTCTCATTCTCTATACTGTTTATTCTTTGGTGTTTAAGAAAAGCGTTCAGAAATAGTGAAATAGACATAGGAAGTGTTGCTGCACTGGGTATTAATAACCCCAGGAGACTTAGCAAAATTTTTTGAGTACAATTCCCTATTTGGTTCACTGTTGGAGGCACTCTCTTCAATGGACTTAAGAATTGCTCTAGTAGGTCAGATCCTGGTCCATTTAGGCTAACTTCTCTGGGGCATAAAGCAATTGTGGAAAAGCACCATATCATCCTGAGTGATAATTTTAAAGGTAGGCAATGCCACTAGAAATCTCTAGCTTGTTTTATTACTTTACACATCAAGTAAACAGCATGCATTCAGGGCAGGATTGTTATAAACTGGGCAAAATGCTTTACTCTGTGGAAATGATCTTTGTTACCCTCAGTGACCTTGTATTCTATTACAAGAAATAAGGTAAACATGCAACAAACAGTTTCAGTCTTTTCATCAATTGTTCCATCATATTTTTTCGCTTGTAGATGCCAGTTTTTAAAAGATTCTGTATGCATGTTAAATGACATCAATTAATAAAAGATTATTTG